CTGTCGCAGAATAAACAGGCACAGTAAAATACGATTTTGATCACAAAACCTGACAAATACAAGTTATAATATGTAGAAATAGCTTAAATATTATCTATACGTTCCCGCGCGAAAATCCGAAACTTCCAGATCGTCGTACAAAAATCGAACTTTAAAACTCAACAGCATACTAATTTTACCTACCCATTTCACGTACCAAAAGAATTGTTGTAAATTCAATTCTTACCTTGTCATTTCCGCAGCTAACAGGCGGTTTTTCTTTCGGAGAAAACGCGCAAAATTTAAAATTGAAAGAGCTTCGAAAGAGCAGCCGTTATTGATGCTGTGATACTTCTGGTCAGCGTTGTGTATCGTGTTCATGTATAGGGAAACCAAACGTCACTAAATAATCTGGGCCTCTTCCTTGCAGGTTTCTCTGTCTATTCTCAGTTTTTTAACCACTTTTCTCAAATGGAAAAAAAAGGAAAGAAAAACTAACTTCGCGCTCAACCGTGAACTACGCTGTGTTAATATGCAGGAAAATGGCGAAAAAAAAAAACACAAAAAAAAACAAACAAAAAAACACGACAATAGAAGAAAAGAAAAAAGATATCATAGCTAAAAAAAGGAACTCAACTTCAACTTCTTCAATTTTTCAAACAACGTGAACTGTTGGTACACTATAAAGCCGGCGTAAACTGCAAAGCCCTAAGCGACAACGCCGTTCCTTAAACCAAGAAATTTAATGACCTTTAATACGCTGATAAAAGCACAGGGCATCCAGACTCACAATAGCCTTCAAGCCAAATTTTAAGGATTCGTAAATGGATGGGAATTTATCGTAAGATCGATAAAACAGTTATATTGCACATAAACAGCCATTTAAGTGTGCATACGTCAGTTATAAAGAGTTGTGTCTGTACAAGAGCCATGACTCTTGATCGTTGTTGTTTTGGTACTGTTTTCCGTCTTCAAAGATACACAAATCTAGTTTATGTGCATTTTAACCTATTTATCGATCCTACGATTAATTCCTATACAAACCCTTGTAATTTGGCTTCTAGTAGGCTGTTGTGAGTCTGGTTGCCCTGTGATAAAAGTCACCCTCGTGAAATACGAGAGACGGGGAAGGATTGATTTGGGAAGCTGTCCGTACTGTCTCTCTCAGGAAAATTTGCTAGCTATACCCCTTTGTATGCACGGCGGTTATGTAGGCTGCTTTTTATTGTCTATAAAGTTAATCAATTCTTTTCTTTTGTTTTTAATAAAAAAAACTAATGCATGACTCGTTAACCCTATTCAGACTGGGCTATTTTGGTCAATCTGTGACTGGGGGGGGGACTCCTCGGACCCCCCCTCTGTATCTCTGGAACCAATAATGCTAGGGTCATGAAATTTACACACAATGATCATCTCCGTACAAAGAAGCCCCACACCCAGTTTTGACTTGCCACGCCCAATGATGACGTCACAGTGACGTTATATTCCGATTTTTCAATGTTTCTTATTATTTTTCCACTTAGATACGTAAAATATCAATAATATTGGTAAAGTCATCTCTTTGTTATCCTTTCTTATGAACTAGTAACAATGAAACACTTGTACAGCGAGAAAAAGCAATAGGAAGCAATAAAATTTAAAATTTGAAATGGTTGTCCGCCATCTTGGATCCGCCATCTTGGATCCGCCATCTTGGATTTCCGTTTTTTTGTTAAAATTATAATTTCAAGCAACTTTCGCAGGGGAAAAAGCTCAGAATGTATAAAAGAAGTATCAAACTAATGTTTATTATCCAAACAAATGACTTTGGAAGTGTTAATTGGAAAATAGAGCAGCATATTTGTCAAAGCAAAAAAGTGACAAATTTTACCCCACCCCTCCCCCCCAAATATTCGATGTTGAAACATTTTGGTGTAATTCAAAAACTAGTCCCAAGCAAAGACCATTTTAACAACAAAAAGCACTATAAGTGTAAAAACGCGATCTTAAAACAAAAAAAGATCACCATTTTTTAAATTTTCCAAAACCTATGTGTCAGAAACTGGTTACCATGGCAACATGATTAATCACATGGACATGGTAATTATACCAAAATGTTCCTAGATAAATTTTACGAAAAGTCAGAAAATTTGAACGTCATAGCTCTTTCGGTGTAGGAGTTATCACGTTTTTGCCGGAGGGGGGGTTCGAGAAGCCCCCCCCCCCAGTCTGAATAGGGTTAAAGACAAACGAAAGTATTTTTTGCTCGAGTCTATACTATGCAACTCATCAAGTCGTATCTTATCCAAAAGTTATTATGAGACGCCCGGCCTACGGCAGCTTACGGCGGTTAGTCCGCGGTTTTAAAATTGTGAAAAGCGGACGGTATTTTCATACTGGATGCTAAAAACGTAGTATAAAATTATACCCCGGGCCATTTCAATTTCTCACCTGTAAATTTCCCACTAAAATCCCATACTGTTGGAAATAAGGGCTGTCTTTTAATAATTGGTTATAAGCGACGCTGAAATACACTTGAATTTAAGTGTGCGGTTAAATATGCAAAAGAGTGCTTTTATTCTTAATGTACAGTTTTAAACAATAGCTATACATGGGTATAGTAGATTATTTATTTCTCTTAATTCATTCCCTCTTCGGTCGCCGATTTTAACTAGAGACGGCCTCATCGGCGATGCAAAGAGCGTAAGAATGAGTGATAACATCTTACTTTTAAGTTAAGTTATCATCCAAGCCATCTCAGTCTGTTTCACATTCCATGAGTTCAATGAGGCAAAAACTAAATCATTCAGGCCAAAAAAACAACTGATGAAATTGCAATAAACTACAAACCACCCATAAAAATGGAATATTTAGAAGACGTTAGTCTTATTTTTGGATTTCATTCCACATTGATTGGTAATAAAAGAACAATGTAATGTTGTAAATTTTTGTCTCAAAGTAGTTCATGCACCGTCAACAACAACAAATGACGTCAGTTGTTGATTGTCGATACTTGGCCTTAATGAAGTCTCCGTGAATGTCTTGTCCATTGTATATTATTTCTTCGAAAAAAAGGCATTTGTCGTTATTAAAAGTACACATCACGTCTTCAATCGAGGCTTTTCCCTTCACGAATTTAACTCACTGAAGGAAATTCCGCCAGTATAATGTGTTGTTGATTGCATATATAATTATCGTGTGCAATTTCAATCAAGGCAGCTGGCGGCTTTTCCAAGAGCGGAAGTCCCAAAACGCTAATTCATTCAATAACGTGTAAAACCACGATCCCAGTCTATACACGACATGGGCACCCACAAAGATTTTTCTCTTTTCCTGTAGTATAATTTAATTTTATGCTCAGCTTATGGTGAAGGTGCAACCGACTTGGGTTGTCAAAGTGTCGGTCACGAACTCTTAAATGAGCAGAACTTTCAAGAAGAACTGTTTATTATTCTATCCAAAGTGGTTTTTGGTTTCAAGTCTGCCGGGGCGATCAAATGAAAGCTTCAGCGAAGGACCTTCCTGTGGAGCTAATGTTTGTTATGTTGTGCAGGGTGGCTCTAATTGTAACTAATTGTTGAGTCTTAGCTACTGCGCAGACTCTCCTGTGGTGCGGATGCTTACACTTTGGAAAGTAGTTCTTACTTCAGGGGCACCCAGCGAGAATATAGTTCAATACCACTTAAACATAGCATTCTTGAACGTATTTTAGTATTTAAACGGTAGATAAAGGCATATTTTTATTCCCTAAAAATGTTTTCATCTGTTCGGATTTCCTAGCTGAAAGTCTAGTGATCCGAAGATCACAGGTATCAAAACTTACGTTTTCGAAAATTTCAGCCAGAAAAAAGGCTCCCGAAAATTCTAGGTGACCTTTTTAGGGTAAAAATCCGTTAAAAAGTGGACAATTATACCATTTTTTTAAATGTTCGAAAATCCTTTGAGAGGCAGGCAAGCAAGAAATTTTACAACAAATGTTCCGAAAATTCTAGATCTCAAATCGTCTTCCGAACATATATTTTCGGAAAATTGGCGTTGGGTGCACCTGCTACTTTCGACTTTGTTGGCGAAATCCTAAAGAGTGACCCTTCAGTTGAAAGCTACTGTGCGAGCAGAACATTCCTGTGGTGCTAATTACGTCAGAATGCCTTACATTGAGACTATGGGTAGTTCGAGCCCCTAAATCTAAATATTTTAACTTCTACGTAATGTACATCTGCAGTAACTTCCCGCGATGCTATTTTGTCAGTATTTCACCTGCAAAAAAGCGGCAGAGAGAATTTTTCACGAAGTAGAATTTCTACTACTTGATATTCCAGCGTACGATTGGGTTCGCCGATGCAATAAAACTTGTCGCGGTGAGTCATCACTGTATGAAGAGAGAGCTTGATCGCTGTTTGACGCACTATTTACGCTGTTAGATCTCTTTAATGATCCATTCAGAGACCAGGGCAGAGAGAGGGAGTCCATAGCTATCGGAGGTAACGAATCTAGCGACTTAGACATTCGTCTTTCTCTCGGCAGCTTTAAAAGGTCTGTGTCATTTCCCTCGCTGACTGGTGGTAAAACAAGAGACGATGTTCTTTCCATCATTGAATTTTTCCTCTCGATGGCAGAATTCTTTCTGTAGTATTGGAGTTCAAAGCGATTCTGTGCGGCTCTGAGTTGACACATTTCACGACCGACCCGTCTATCGAGGCGACATTTTTCTTTCTGCAAATTGACCTCCTCGCGCGAGTTATGCGCTCGAGCTCTTCTCCAACTCTTAGAGGCCAACAGTTTTTCCTCTGTCGATCTTATCATCTTTAGAAGAAAGTGGGTTAAAAATGATTATTTTGCATCAGAGCCCCTCTTAATATACGCATTATAACCATATTCGCTCGTACTGTGGCACGGACCCCATGTCAACAAAGTGTTCATAACTGCATATCCGAGGCATTATATCGGTTTGTACTCTTATTGAAATGCTGTTAAAATACGAACCTTGAGGCAAACTGCGCTCATTAAACTGTCTCTTGACATTTCGTTAACTAATTGAAAAGGCTTGGAAGAGCGTGTAATTAATTCATTAATTACACGAGGTTAGCAACTGAGGTTAGCCAAGATTAAAAACAAAATTAAAAATAGACAAAACAAACAAGAGTAGTTCAGTACCTTCAATTTCAGTTTCTTTAGGTTTGCATTTTGTTCATAGACCACAATTTAGAACTTGCTTCCATACCCGATGGTTTCGTTAGTCGGTCTCGTTGACAATCTGATTACGCAGCAGGTTACTGACGCAGCACGGAGCTTATGACGTCAGCAACACTTTTATTGCCACTAAATTTAAGAGGGCAAACATGGCAACGAATTTTTTTGCAAATAAAGTACTTAATCACCAAATTTCGTATGGAACATCACTATTTACAAATTTCCAGCAAGAAATTGTCCATTTTACATTCTCTCCATTTTCGTGGGCTCACAATAAAGATCGAGAGTCCACACATACGCGTTCCAAGCCAGTGATGACAGTACTTATACAGCGACATGTGTCTTTGAAGAATAGTTCTCTGTCGTCATTGTACAGAACGCTGTTACATTAATTGGCTGGAAGCTGCAGCTCGACACATCACGCGTTTTACGGCTGCCGACTACCGACTTCAAAGAAAAAACTTTTTTCTGCTTGTGTCCATCTCCTTTCTCTGCAAAAAAAAATAATTTTAAGATCATGAGTACTCAAGCAAATGCAAAAAAATATTGAAATTAGCACAAGCTGGAATGGAAGAGGACACCTGCACTATATGCTACGATTTATCATTTTTTGACGCACCTTGTGAATCCATTCATACTCGCCGAACTTGGAGTCGAAAGTTCCTCGTTGCAATGAACGGAGTTTGAGCGTGAACCTCGGCCCGAGTTCCTGAAGTCCTGCCTTCTTCTGGTTCTTAAAAATATACCTGAGGCGTACATGTAAAAAAAATGAAAAGAAATCTGCCATTAAAGAAACTCTTAGCGTCGACGTTGTCAGACGGTGACTAAGGTTAGCCTTCGAGCAAGCTCTCCTATTTGTCCTATTTGGGCAAGCGAAGCGAGTCTCGCGAGAACGCGCGAGCGAGGGGCCCCTCCCGGCTTCGCCGCTCGCTCGCGCGTTCTCGCGAGACTCGTTTCACTCGCCCAAATAGGAGAGCTTGCTTGCAGGCTAGACTAAGGTCAGGGGAGCAAGTTGTCCGGATACCCACATTAGAGACCTTTAGATTCCACGACGTGGACGAGGGTTGACTCAGGGGTTTTTCTTGTATTCTAACAAAAAGTGGACCTTCCCGAAAGCAAAAAAGGGGCTGTATCACGGCAGTCCACTTCATTTTGTTTAATTTTGCCAATTACTCGCCCTCAATCGCTATGGAACTTAAAGTAAGCAAAGAAATTACATGTAAATGACAAAATCAGAGATCCGAGACAAACAGATATGTCTCCTGGCCCGGGTTGCTCGAAGCATGGTTAGTGCTAACCAGCGTTAAATACCATGGAAACCTATACATTATTTTTGAAGTTGCAAGGAGCAGGGATCAACTTTGAAAACTGTTAGGCTGAACAGTTTTCAAAAACTCTAATTTCAATCCGTTTCAATCTTCTTCAGTTTTGCCCATCCGTGGTATCTGTTCTTTCTGTTATGTTATTTTAACCTTCCTTTAAAGTTTTAAGCGGTTATTTTTATGTTTCTCTTAATTTAACGGGCACTTTGTAATTTCCTAATTTGCTTGAATTTCGTGACACAGCTCCTTTCATTTCAATTTTCACCAAAAAAGATTATAAACACAGTTTTTTATTGAAGGAGGCTAAGCCCCCTCACGACCGCAAAATGATGAAACTTCTATTGTTTCCGTCATTACGACATTTTCGCTAAAATCCGTTGTAGAATAACTACAGCTCTCACGTTTTCCCGTCAAGCGCATGCATTCTAGTAGTTTTGTCCTCGCCCAAGAACCTCAAGGTCTCTATTTGGGAACTGGGAGGCCACGATTGTAGTTATCTGACTCACCTGTGACGTCTAAAGAAAATAAAATCCCGTTGGTTGTGGAAGGTAACACATTGTCTGCCTTGAAATTGCGGATCGTGAGGAAAGAGCGCTGCCAACAAACGTGCAACAGAATGACCAAGCCGCGTGCTGAAATTATTGAGGATCACTTCTGGTCTGTGGCTTGTCATGCGACCATGGTTCTAAGAAGAAAGTAAGGTAAATAGATTTTTTTTCTGATTTGTAATATGCGTTTAAAAATTTAGGCCAGACTAGGATAGGATAGGAACTTTGATAGGCACAAAGATAACATTCAGAAAGTTGGAAAACTTTCTTAAAACTGAAGCTTTCTGGAGCTATTTTAAACAGCTAATAGCAACGCTTCCACTCAATAGGGCATATCCAAAATACATTTACACGTACAAGTTAAGTGCAGTAATATCCACTCCACGGGCAATGGAAAACCTTCTTCACTTACATGTAGTTTTCAATCCATGGCAAATGACCGTTTAACAAAAAAGAAAAACAAAACAAATGACTGAATCATCTGACCTTAGAAGACCAAGCCTGTTGGATAGAGGGCAGGAGAGCTCACCTTATCCTCTCCCCAGACTTTCTCATGTTTGCTTTTGCAAAAAAAAATGTTTGCTTTCCATTTTACTCATCCAGAGTGACTGAGAACATGGATCAGGCTGGGGAGACCCTCATCAAGTTCAAAAGAATACGATACAAGGACTACACAATATGAATTGCAATTCTTGTAATACAGTTTTCAAACTTGATAATTAATTATAAAGAAAATACAAATAAATTAATGTTTAATGAGTGTTTGGAAATGAGATAAAAAACTGGTCAGTTTTTGCATCCTTAATTTCTCCCCCTAAAATCATTTTGTTTGAGAAGTAATATCAAGCATTCGACACAGTGTTTCATCACCAAATTAATCACCTCAAAGTTTGTCAAAAATACTCCGCTGCGCATCGTATTTTCAACTCTCTTCTCACTGTTTCATCTGGTGATGAAACACTCTGTCTTATGCTTGATATATTACTTCAGACCTGTTACAGTAAGCAAATAATTATGACAGACAAATAAATGAATAGAATGAATAAGCACAACAATATTATTAATATTAAGTCTATTGAATTTTACACAACATACCCTAATTTCTTTGCCAAGTTTGATGCTGCTTAATTTGAAGTGTGCTGTGGGACCATCTGGCAAGTGACTGATAACAACTCCATCTAAAGACAATTGGTTAAGGGCTGTGTTTTTGTGTGTCATGGCAGGGTTTTGGCCATATTTTAGTTTTAATTTTATAAAGTCACCATTAAAGAAATCTTTTCACCTTGGGGGCTTGGAGGTATGGCCACTACCCCAAAAAATGGAATCAAGAAGTTCAGAAATGCAAAAACCAGCATTCTTGGCATCAAACTATTATACATGTAAAACAATTTATCATTAAAATAGTATTTCTCATATTGCTGTTATTCTAAGAGGATGTCTGAAGACTTCCAGACAATGTTGTTGTTTCTTTCTTTTGAAAACCTTATAATAATAAATTCTCCAGAGATATCAAATTTGGCTAAATATCATTAGGCAAAGTTACAGGTAAACTCGAGCTAATGCAGCTAGCAGTCTTCCCCATTGGCAGTGCGTGACTTTTGGGGTGGCCTCCAGGGGTTTTGCAGGGTTTCAAGGATCATTGCTTTACATGTGCTGTGTTATCAGCTGATCTTTGCAGATCAAAAGCAAAGCTATCGCTTGCGAATCATTAGGGATTCTCACACCCTCTCCTCCCTCCCAATAAATTGTGTTTGGTTACTAGGATAAGTATTCTTTCAGGTAAGTTGAGACGTTGCTAGTTAGAGGGAGCTTGTTTGGCTGGTTCCAACGTTCCAGGGTTGCCATGGAAATCTCCTTGTGGCTTATGGTATCTGGCACCCCGCTAACCTTTAAGGCACCAGCTCCCAAGCTCATCAATTTGTGATGAGTTTAACAAACAGGATAAGATTGTTAAATGGTTGCTTATTTGCTTATTATTGAAATCCCTCAAAAAAATTAAAAGGATACTTGGTACTTTCCGATCTTCATTGACAACTATAAGAGCCGTAAATCCTTTTTCCTTTGCCTGGGGAATGATTTTCTTCAAATCCAATCCTTTGCGCACACGGATTTCAGAGTTTGGAATAACTCTCTGAAGTTCCTCCATAAACTGAACTGTTTTCTAAACGGGGAGATTAATAATCAAGAACGTTAGTTAATAAATGTAACAATAAGGATTACATAGAGGATATTACATGGTGGCGCGAAGAAATGAATTTTTATTTTCGAGTGGCAAAACAATTTTGTTTTTGCCACAAGAAAATAAAATTCATATCTTCAAGCTGCCGTGTAATGTTCTTTTTATTATATAGACAAAAAGACATCGATAAAATAATAGAGGGAAATTACCGAAATTACCGGTATGTTATCGATAAACTCAAGTGTGAGATTATGGAAAATAAACCACTCGGGTCCCAGATGTAGTTTTTATGAATTTTAAGAGTGGTATATTTTCCAGTAAAACACTCGTGTCTATATAATAAATGTATTTAATATAACCTTTTAAACCTTAGAAACTATGTAAAAGTGTCAAACATTTTAAATCCTGCTTACAGAATACTGCTCAACCAAACATAGAAATCATAAGAAAAAAAGATGACAATACGTGACAAAGCTTGTTTAGTCAAAAAAAGGAAAAATAAGAAGAACATATTATGCAATGGGAAAAAATTGCCCTATCTGGGATAATATGGAGAAACATTATTTACTCCCAAACCTTGCTTGTTTATCCACTGTACCACATAAGATAAGCTGAAAAGCTTGTTAATAAGTAAGATGTAAAATTATTGCAATGAACTACTGACTTATAAAATAAGCTTAATAATATTTTATTTACCTTACCAATTTAGATCTATCACTTGAGGTGATAAGAACTTTAGGAACCATCTCACATCTAAAATAGGTTGCCAACTGATCTGATTCTTCATCATTTCTCACCTGACAGGAACAACAATATAAGGAAACCATTCTAACAAATACAATGTATCGGCATGCAGTTTGTTGATTAAATAATAATATTAGACATTCCTTTGGCAAAAAAAATTGAATGATATCTCTTTAATCAAAACAAAAACACTTTAGAGTGAATAAGTATTTGTTGTTTAGTGCAGTTCAATGGATTATGACCAATCTGATAGACTACTCCGTGAAATTTGAAATTTATACATGTACATAAACTAGACATTAGAGACAGAGACACAAAGTACAAAAAGTAGACAGTTTAAGGCCCACTTGGACCAGAAACCAAGGTTTTTTAAAAACTTGGTGAGATTATGATAGCTGTAATTGAAAACCATTCTCAGTTGAGCTGACTGTGTCATTGACCCCAGCATTATTAAGCCACTGAATTGTATCGCAAGGGGACATAAAAAACCCATCACATTTTTCAAAACAAGTAGGGGACGTAGACCTTGGTGTCATGGTGTATCAGATTTGTGCTGCAATTGGTTTGTGGCGAGATTAAACATGGACTAAGGAAACTGCAAAGTGCACCTTTAAAAGCTGACACAAGATCTCACCTCTCTGATTTCTCTGCAATTTAGTCACTGACTGCAAGAGAAATTGTGGCCAAGGTGATGATGATGATGACCAGATGATGGTAAATGAAATGCTGCTGTTGCTCTTGATGATGATGATGATGATGATGTTAACGTTGAAAATAACTGCAGATTACCTGGCCAATCAAAAGCTATACCTCTAAAACAGTGGCTAGGTGGCTATGTAGCTGCCTAGCCACTTATCTGTGCACCCTGCAGCCACATATCCCTTATACAGTTGTAGCCAGAAAGACAGCTGTAACCCTATTTAACAATAATCATTCCTTGAGCCTGAATGGGCCCTGAGTCAATAGCCCATTCGGCCTTCGGCCTCATGGGCTAGTGACTCAGAGGCCATGAGGGCGAGAGGAATAATTGTTTTAGTAAAATCCAATTAGTTGGTCAAAAATATCGAGAATAAAAACATTTTAGCTAGTTAACGCTAGACTTTAATCCTTTTTTGCCGCCAAAAAGCCCGCGCTTTTCGCTACTAGCTATATATAGTGGGCTATAACGTAAATTATAGCCTAGTAGTAGCTCAACCAATCAGAATGCAGCATTGATAATAGACCACTAGTTGGATTTTACTAAAGCTGCTAGCTGCGTAGCCTCATAGCCACAAAGTAAATGCCTTGTTCTTTAGGCACACAGTACCTAAAGCCCCTAAAAACTGGTGTAAAGCTGTAGCCACGTAGAAACACTTTTTGGGTCCAGCTTTTGAGTGGCCAGGTATTCTGCAGTTACTTCGGAAGTAGTCACAGTGTTGGGATATTATTACGTTAAGGCATGATCACACTGAAAATGAAAGAGTTCACCTGACCTCATGGTCTTCTGCTTCCACAATGGTGTCATCAGCCACACGTGTGTTATCAATAGTTCTAGGGACTTGCTTGGGAGGGGCCTGACAAGAGACCACAAGATTAGCAGTTAAATAGAGGCTTAAATTGTGCAGTAAGTGCGATAAGTAAGCGACATTAACGATGTGTACGCAACCTTATACCTTTCCTAAAATCAGTACTTTGATCTCACACGTGTGTTTACAACGGTAACCGCAACTTACCCCATTTGGGTCTTGTGATTCCTCTCTTTTTCGCTTTCTTTTTCTTTCTTTCTTTTCTTTTGCCTTTCTGAGTTTATCTTTTTGGTAGAGAGAACTTCTTCTAAGCTTATTTTTGATTTCAGAAAACTCAACGCGGTTTGCCTGCTTGTCGGCCATTTTTTTATTTTATTCGTACCATTCCTTCGAGTCCAAGAAGTGTGTAACCTCGCCTCGTGGAATCTCGTTTCACATGAGATCATTCACGTGTTCCTCCCGGTACATTCGAGTTCAGGTGCCGTTCAGGTGAAATCTCAAGAAAAGCAATTCTATTATTTACGCTTTCAGTGAGAATGGAAACGATCCAGCTGAATAATGGCAAGTCTATCCCATGTTTGGGTCTAGGAACATGGAAAAGTCGCCCAGGGCAGGTTGGAAATGCTGTGGAAGTCGCTATCAAGGCCGGGTACCGACATATCGATTGTGCAGCGATTTATGGCAACGAGAAAGAGATAGGGGACGTTCTTAAGTCATGCCTCGGAACTACGGTACGAAACTTGAAATTGCTACGTTTAGCTAAATTTTATTTGCTAGCTATAAAATTATTAGGGACCAAATACGCTTGACATTTTGTTACCGCACCCCCCCCTTGTAAAAACAGTCTTGGAAAAAAAAAACAACTGGATATTTCCACATGTGCTGGAAAGGAAAAAAAACAAGAACAACAACAGCAGAAATTCATTTTCTCCATATTGTAAATGATGCAGCACACGCATCTTCATATTCTTCTCTTGGATCTGGAAGGGAGTCTTTTTGGGATCCAGGATTGGACCAAAATACTTTGGTGTTTCACGAAAATGCTAGCCTCCTACACAGATGTTCTTAGGGGTTCGTCACAATTTCCTGCCCGAGGAACATCTGCTGATACAAGCAGTTAAATTCCTTTCCCTTTGTTCGTAAATAACAGATTGCAGCTTGAGTTCACGTGCAGATTATCGGAGAACCGATGAACACTGTTAAAGTCAAAGTGTTGACAAGCCAAACACAACATACAAGCTCAGTAGGGTGTGATACATGACCAAAGAGTTTTGTTCCGAACAAGAATATAGGAAATAAGCGATGGTTCCATTTCTCTCTTTAAAGGCTGTCATTTGCTCATAAAGGTGTTGGGGGTGAGCGTGAGGTCTTCACCTTTCATGAGACCTTTCTGATCTTGTCTCTCTTGGGAAATTTCTCAAGTACGTCCCAGATCTGGATGTGTGCTGTGATTGGGCTACGTTTTTGACCGCTTGTTTCAGCAGATGTTTGTTGGGGAGGATTGCATGACGAGCAAGAAAATGCAAGTTTTCAGTATGTAGGATAGGAAGAAAGACTATGTTTGTGAGAGGAGAGGAAAGGTGAACAGGTAATCTTAGACCTTCCTCCCTCTATAGATCCTCCCTTAATAGTGTACCATCAAAATGCTTGAATAAAAATTCCATTAAAATTGCTACATTTTGCAGGTTGCCAGAGAAGAACTGTTCATCACGTCTAAGCTATGGAACACAAAACACAATCCAAAAGATGTACGCCCTGCACTGATGAATACTCTGAAGGATTTAGGGCTTGATTACCTAGACCTTTACCTTATCCATTGGCCCTTGTCATTTAAAGATGGTGACGAGCGTTTCCCTAAAGATGAACAGGGAAATATGATTTATGCCTATCACGATCCGTGTGACACCTGGAAAGCTATGGAAGAACTTGTTGATGATGGTCTTGTCAAAGCCATCGGTAAGAAAACTTCCCTATCAGGGTTGTCATTAAGAGCCGGGGGCCAGGGATTTTCCCCGGCTACTAAGAGAGTGGCCCCCGGCTACTTTTATTGGAAAATAGAAGAAAAATAGAGCATCTGCACTTGTAACCCATTGCATGGTGCTCATTTGACGAAAATCAATTTTCTCCTTAGGATATCAATACATAATCAAGAGAAAATGTTGTGAGAATATATAGAGTTGTCACTTCATGGAAAATGCTGTGATCTTTAAACAAATTCTCCCAAATAATTCATTAAGGAAATGTATGGACATCAGTCTTGAGAACTTGTATTTGGATATTGGGGCTTAAAGAGTTAAGTGCTGGCAGCCGGCTAAAAAAAAATTGCTACTTGGAGGTTTGAGCCGTTTACTTTATGGGTAATAGGGTAAAGTGAGAGAGGGAAAGCCTGAAGTTGCCTACAGCACTCAGTTACCAAGCAGCCTACTTTTACATACTACATGTAGCTGTCTAGTTTAAAACTTAATGAGCACCCTACCAAAGGTGATAGGTTTGACTCCTACATGTATTTGGAGTACTCGTTTTTTTTTTTTCTGAGCCACCTGTGTCATTGACTGAAAAATCATCTTTCTCATGAATTGACACCATGCGTAAAATTCACCAAAAAATACATGTCAAGAGTCAGTTTTGCCACAAGTTGCAACATTATAAGTGAGGGAAGTAGAGCCCGGTTGTGTGGTGCATTTCATAGGTGGTGTTAGGAGGGAAATTTTTCAGGCCCACAGTAATAATATTATTGGCTTCACAATGTCGAGGCTGTGCTGCATAAAACAAAAATAATAAGAAAAATTACATGTGAAAAATTTATGCTTTTCACACCCTTGGCTCAGGTAATTTTGACAATCCCCCAGTATGTGTTTTAATACACTAATGGTAATATTGTCCTGTGTGTTGGTTTAATTATGATCAGCTCTCATCTTTAGTAATTCTTCTTTCATAACAGTCACACATGTACCTACCATGGACTATACTTGATTATTTTGTTTAGGTTTATCAAACTTTAACAGTAAGCAAGTTGACGACATTATAGAAAAAGGAAGAATAAAGCCTGCAGTTAATCAGGTTGAGTGTCATCCATATTTGAATCAGGCTGAGCTTATGGAACACTGCAAGAAAAAGGGTGTTGTAGGTGAGGCTATTAATCCCAACTTCATTAAATTTACCAGTATAGAGTAAGTAAGATGGTTAATTTGGTTGAGTATTAGCTCAGATGATATGAATTCTTCCCTACCAATTATCCTTGTCCAGCATTTCTGTTCTGCGTTCTCTGATTAGAGGCTTTTGGATTTTTTCATTACTAAGTAGTACATACCCACGAATCAGCGTCACTTTGGCAGGAAAATGTGATATCCATCGTCACTCTTCTACAAATTTTTAGCAAGAATGTCACATTGGTGGGAACTAATAAAGGTTAAACCTCCTTTAACCCTTTAAGTCCCAATGGTGACCAACATCAATTTTCTCCTAACCATATCCAAAGATTGTCAAGAGATTTGGTTATGAGAATTAATAAATTGATCACCTAAGAGAAAATGCTTTGATCTTTCATCAAATTCTCTCAACTTGTTCTTTAAGAAAATGTATAGAGATCAGTTTGGAGAATTTGTATGTGGATATTGGGACTTAAAGGGTTAATAAAATTAGCCTTGAAAAAAATTATTTTCTTGAATCTTCTCCTTGTAGTCATCTTTATTGTCGAATGGAAAGGTCTCTTTTGTAAAGTAAGGGGGATTGTATTTCTACCCCTACAGCTGTACATGTATGATGGACTAGCATCCCATCCAGGAGGGGGTAGGGGGGGTTGGGGGATGGCAATATTCCTAGGAGCTTCATGCTACTGAAATAGAGATAAGCTATGGTGCTGTGGGCCCCATTGGCTTGCAGTACATTTTCACAATTTTTCGTTACACGCCCAGCACTTCAATATTGCTCCTTTTTTCTGTCATCAGTCACAGCATACAGCCCTCTTGGATCACCAGACCGGCCCTGGGCAAAGCCTGATGAACCCGCCCTCTTGCAGGATCCTAAGTTGCTGGAAATAGGCAAGAAGTATGGCAAAAGCCCAGCACAGCTTTGTATCCGCTTCCAGATTCAGAGGGGTGTGGTTGTTATACCCAAGAGTGTAACACCTTCCCGCATTCAAAGCAATTTTGAGGTACGTTTGTACAGTTGAACCTCTGCTAACACGGTGGCCGACCAAGCGGTCAGCGATGATGATGGCCGTGTCTTTTGAAGCTGGATAGTTTTGTGGAATAACAAAGCTATATTAGAATAAACTTAGTCAATCCTGTTAAAGGGCCATATTTAGTTTTCTATAATGTGCCCTTCTCCATTCTAACTCTCTTTTCTTTATTATGTACACATAGTTTAATCAACCTTGTAATAATTGATATTGTACAACTAATGTATTATGTATAGGATGGAGTAAAAATAAAATACAAATACAAAATACAACACAGTGGCAGATCCAGGAGAGGGGCCAGGACCCCCCATTATTTTTCGACCAAACCAAGGCCTGAAGGGCCGAAAAAATTTTTTTGGGAGACTGGGCCCCCCCTTTTCTCAGGGTCTGGATAATCCCCCGCCCCCCTCCCCCCCTTATCTGAAGGTCTGGATCTGACACTGTAAGAGATACGTTCCAGTAAATGGATGCCAAGCTACATGTAAGCAGCTAAACCATTACATTTTTAAGCTCCTGTAAGCAGACACCGCCCTTTTTAGAGTCCACAGCAATATCACAGTATGTCTTTATTAGTTTGCAATGTGGTCATACTCTGAAAACTGTCTTATTTTAAAATGCAGGTATTTGATTTTGAACTGACTGCTGACGAAATGAAGTTGATTGAATCATTTAACATTCCTTTCCGAGTCTGTATTCCAATGATAGAGGTGAGTCAAGGGCAAGATTTGACAGGACAAAACGGACTTTCCTTAATCTCGTTTTTGACACAGTTGCGATCACGTATCCTCCTTAAAGGAGATGTTTGTTTGTGAGTTTCAAAGTTTTGGGTTCAAATTGTGCTGAAAACAGTGTATCAGTCAATTCTGAAAACCCTAATCCAACCATGCAATTGCGCTGAAGCATTGATACTTGGTTAGCTCTGTATTGAACGGGAATTTGACATAAAACGTGTCTTGACTGGGCGGCTTTTTGACGATTAGCAAAGTGATTGATCAACAGTTTCGAGCTATATTTTGTGAAGGAATCAGTCCCTTTGAATGTTTGCCGGTTATTGAAAGTTTAATGTTAAGACAGTATTTGTCTGCAGAGGCAGCATCATACATTCTCTCTTTGATTTGCCTCGCCCGCCAAAATCGCATAAGATAGGATAAGATAACTTTATTATTATCTCTTCGGGATATCTCTGTTTACAAAAATCTATTTACAAAATTATTATGAACATGTGATAAAAAATAAAAAAAATGTATTATCATAAGAGTACTAAAATCAGAAAAATACTGAAAGCAAAGAACGACAAAATTAATTATTAAAAAGAGATAATATTTAAAACAAGATATTTTGCCGCATGGCAACATCGCGATTGGCTAGTAAATAATTGACATGTTCACTTTTATCGCTTATTCTATTAAAGATTTCTTCCGATAATTTCCAGAATGCATCAGGCGAATCAGGTTTAGATAACTTAAAGAGGTCAAGACCAGCCTTAACGGCGTTGATACTTGTTGAATTTCGCACGCGTAGTGGCAGCTGGTTCCAATATTTGATAACTCTATTGTTCGCTTTTACCAAGCGAAGTGAAAAAGATCCTCATCTCAAGTTGCATTTGTTTTGCTTTCTTAGGTTGAAGGAAAGAGAGTTGCAAGAGATGCCGGTCATCCTCATTACCCATTTAACATTCCCTATTAATGTTTCATGTGGTTTTCTGCAACGTTTTTGGTGGCGACGGCGCATTTTGTAGTTAGGTAGTTACGTTTTCTTTCGTTCTATTTCATAATGTACAGTAAGGATTTCAGTATCAAAGTCCGATATTATTTTTCCAGGTTTAGTCATGTACATTAAATTGAAGTGTCGTACATATTGAGATGTGCCTGTTGAGTTTCTCCTGGGAGGGAGGGATGGTAGATGGTTGTAGTTGGACTGAACACCGCGTAATTTCCCGCCAAAATGGCGGGTTGGTGTTCTTGTTTGGTCTAGCTCAAGTCGCTTCGAGTTCATGGCTTGCTTAAGCCTTGCTTAAGCCTGGCCTTAGTTGTTCGCAAAAGCTGGATAGCGCAAACCACCGGATCAATCACTATCCATTGGATAAGTATGACAAAAAACAATTGCGCTACCCACTGGATAGAGATTTATGTCATTTATGATTAGCGCTTTCCAGCTTTTGAACAACTGGGGCGTGGACTCTAGGTAAATAACGGCAATATGACGTCACTGAATAGCATTCGCCAGTCGACGTCGTCGCGTGAATAAGTTCCAGGTTTTTCGCGGTAAACTAACGAGGAAGCGCTCAGATACTTCGCTGGTTATTATCTTCTAGTTTGTGCTCGATCGAGGGTTGTCAGTGGCCGAAGTGATTCAAGGTGCAAGCCAAGCGCGAAAGAAAAACAAAAACAAAACCAAAAAAACAGGATTTAAAACTTCCTGTAACCAAGAACCAAACTCTCGTAGCTTGTAATTTTTTAAATTAATCACTATTTTTTTTCTTTCTTTGATGCTGAACTCTTTTTTTATTTTTGTTGGTTGACGGGAAGGTGTTTTATATTATATGTGGGAAAGAAAAGAAAAGAAAAAAACAAAAGAAGCGAGCAGGATAAAAACAATTTTTCCGTTAAGAACTCTGTCGCGTAAAGCTCTTTAAACAGGATTATGTCAAAGCTGAAAAATATATAAAAAGCCCCACGTTGGCTTCTTGTGGATATATGCGGGTTTAAACAAGTTCATAAATATTTGCAGGTACCCCGAAACTATTTCCATAATTTGACCAAAACAATTTTGTTTATCTCACGTAATCTAAGTAAGAATGACGAGGTTGAATTAATTTAAGAGATACTTAGTTGGAAAACAGTGTAATTAACGATTTTCCGATTTCTTTTAATTCCGTGTTTATAATTCAGTTAAATTAATAGAGTGCAAAATTACATTATCTCTTAGAAATTCATCGTAAGAACAATAAAGTGCGTCTATATTCCATACATTTTCAATTTACATACTGAGTACGAAGCTAAAGTGAAAAAGGTCTTTACACGAGTGCGGTGGTCTACTCAAATGACATATATATATTTTTTTAAATGTCGACTCTTTTTTACACGAGTATAATCTAAAACGTTTTCAAGTACTATAGATGCGACAAAGCGCGGACGCTAAAGAGAATTGTTCCAGTAAAATGACGGAGACGTGGCATTTTAAGAGACCACCCAATAGAAGCAAAAAGGCACTGTTTATCTATCCTTTGATACAAATAGCTTTTCGGAGACAATTTTTCATTGTAGAAGCATTAATTCCAATCAGAATACAATTTCGAGTAATTTAAACGAAGCAGAAGTTTCAGATGAACCGAGCACTGATGGAAGTCCGATCCTTTCCCATGCACTGGCATTGACGTAACAAGCAGATAGTCTTTGAGTTTGTGTTTCAAAGTGTTCCTTTTTATGATTGTCCGCGCGTCTATTTCATTCAGTGTCTGTAATCCTCTCGTAATCTTTGCGACTCCTCCTTCTCTCTGCTCATTTTAGATGAATTATCCACCATTCTCTTGAGAAACGATACGTAAACGAATGAGAGAACGAACGCCGAGGCCACAAAAACACCCGCTTCTACTGCAACCATGGTTTCAACGTAATACTCGATCCTCTGAAAAAACTGTGAGCCGATCTTTCCTCCCTAACGTTTGCCACTCGGAAGACGCAGGCTTAAACCAACAGTCAAGTGCTATTTCTTAATGACGAAAACGGCAACCTTGTTGACTATTTTCTCATTAGACGCGACGCTAACCTGTTTTTCAATAGTTCGAGTTCGTAACAGCGTAGGCATGAAATGGAAAAACCGCGTTATGAAAAGTTGATGACTCTTAACCGCATAGAGGCTAACAATCTTAAAAAAAACAATTTCTATAATCTTTATTTTCAATGCTGTATTTTTGATATTACGTCCACTACTTGGTAGAAATCTTCAGAACAAAAAAGGACAGAAACAAAAAAGTACAAAAACAAAACAAAGAGTTTCTCATCGGCCGTTGTATAGCGGTTGAAACGTGCTTTGGTGCATGGCTTTAAGATTGAAGAGAGGCGGTTTTCAGAAGCCGGTAGTTAACGCAAACTCGTTGGTACAATAGAAAGGGATCATTGTAAACTGTTAATCATAAAAACAATTATGGTTAGTCTTGGATCTCGTCCACACGTATCCGTTTTTGATTGAAAACAAATAATTTTCCTCTGGTTTGACCTAGTACCGCAAAACGGATATTTTTAAAATGGAGATTTTTGAAAACACCGGCTTTTCGTTTACGTGTGGGCGGACGAAAAAGGAGATTTTCGAACACGATGATGTTTCGTATACTTCTAGCATGACCCGTTAGGGTGCTAATGTATTTACATCGTTTTAATGTTTTCGTGTGGAGAAAACGATTCGGATACGCTACGTAAGGATGTGTACAACAACAGTTTTTAATTGCTCCACTGAAATAAAATCCTATCCGGCAATTTTTATTTCCAAGCTACAAAGTTTCAGAACAGCACTGCTGCTAAATTATAGTTTAGTATCCATAACGTCCTGCTCAAATTCTTGCTGCGTATGATCAGTTGCTAATGTCCGTATCTGTGGAGACCGTGAAGAAATGATAGCAACGTTATCGGCGATCCCTTTATTGCCCTCCCTGCTCGTCGTAACTTGACCTTCTACGCAGCACAAACTCTCTAGTTTTCTAAATTCAGGAATTCTCCATGCATACACTATTGGGTTAACTAAAGAGTTTAAGTAATTAATTATATTAATTGTTAGCAGAAACAGTAAGTTTCGAGTTATGGAGACTTTGAGCACATAGATTAAAAAGTTTGCGATTATTAATGGAAGCCATGATAGTACAGCTATTGCGGACACGAAAAGCAAGGTTCTTGTCAAACGCTGGTTTTGATGGTCCCTGTTTTGCTGTTGAAAAGCAGCAATTTTTCGGTGTTGATACTGTCTGTAAATAGCTATGTTACAGCCACAAACGACGAATAGAAAAACCAGAGGAAATGCCATCCAAGTGGCGAAAGCATGTTTACTCGATACCAAATACCACAGGGGTGTTAGGACCACTGCAAGACAGACAGCCAGTGTCCAGGCCGTAAATAAAACTATGCGGTAAGCTTTCCTCGACAATGTTCTGTGTTTAAGTGGCTTGTAGATGGCGAAAAATCTTTCGCAGGAAATGAATACTGCAGAAATTAACGAGGCCAGAGCGAAAATTGCATCGAGGAGGTTAAAAAAGATTAACAAAGATGTATTGACCTCGATTTGCCATAGCTGATAAGCGGGTCCGACCAATAGAATGACAAGCAACGGCAATGATACAGCCCCTAGAAGCACATCGGCGATTGCCATGTTTATCACAAGGAAGAAACTCTTTTTTCGAAGCTTCTTATTTAATGCGAATTGAAAGATTGTCAGCAAGTTTCCAGCGACGATTCCGATGGCCTCCAGCAGCAAAATGCTGCACAACACGATTCCTTCTGCGCTGGAAATACGGTTTTCCGAAGATGACGTAGAATTGTCGTTCGACTCGGTGGTATAAGATGTGTTGTTTTTCATTCTTGGCGTTTTCCTGTATAACGGCCAGACCCTTGAAATTCGGTTTGCGTGTCGAAACATGAAGAGTACAACACCAAGTTTACGCAGCATTAATTCATTTAAACTAAGTCACTTAGTTATGTTAAATGAGTGTTTTACATAACAGAGGCTCCTTTCTAATGGGCTTAAGTTATCTTAAATTGCATAATTTCTTCTAATTTTGAACTTAGAAATACCAGGAATAACAGCAGCTGAAGTGAAAAGCTGAAGGCCAGTTAATTATACAAAATATTTAATTTTGTTGTTTTTATTACTAAATAGTAAGGTGAAACTTCTGGGAGGGTCAGCGTAGTAGATGAAAGCAACCGAGTTTTATCCAAACCAAAGTTCCAAACCAGCCGAGCTTGCTATCGGCATTTTTGATTGGGCTCTTGATTGGAGATAAAAACTTAGACCCTGTTTACAAGGAGTGGGGGACCCCGGTTTAGTGGGGTAGGTTTCTTTTGTTTTGTGTCCCCCAGAGCGTGAAAACAAAAGAAACCAACACCACTAGACCGGGGTCCCCCACTCCATGTAAACAGGCCCTTAGTCATCAATTCCATTCAGTGAAAACAACTTAATTGTTGTATGTAAATGCAAATAGCAGAATTATTGGTGTAGTTTCTGTACATGAAATAATGACGCAGGTGTTGCTGTCCTTTGTCGCTACTGCCTAAAACAACTTACTAGATGAACGGACATAGTAATGACATTTAAATTGAAATCCTCAAGAGAAGGATTACTTTAGACCAAGTTTTGTCATGTGATCAGGTCTGCCAATTTTAACCGAAGCTTTAAGTGAGGTAAAAAAGTATTATCTTTTTCAAAGAATGAAGGTGTTAAAAGGTGGCGGTTAAAGTTATATGAGGTGGTGAAAAACTCCACTGATTAAAAATGCTAATACCCAACGCAATAAATTTCAGTGGCTACATGGCTTTTAGGCAGCCAAGATTGAAACGAAAGTCGCAAGGTCTACGACAGCATGCTTGTCATTTTTCTTTATATTGTGTAATAAAGTACATAGAGGATATAACATGGTTCGCAGATGTCAATTATATTTCTCATACAACTTGTCAACGATCGCTTGTAACGCGACCTGGGTACGAGGTTGGATATCGATTCTTAAGCGTCCACCCGCGTAACGTGAGCTTGGGACACCTGTGCTCAGTCAACCAGTCAAATAGCCTGTTTAGCTCTTGCGCAATCCTGCATTCTTGTTAATCAAGCTTCTCTTTTTGCACCCATTAGCTACCAGACTAAAGAAACAATTAGGATGTGAGTAGAATTTACTATGTCGACCCCCACAGGCAGCGAATTATTTTAAACAAAATTTAAAAGCTCATAGTAATGATCCATAAAGGAAATGCAGGGACATTAATGTCTTATTAGTTTTTATATTAATATCTGACATGTCACGACTAAACTTAAAGTCAAATTCTCAGCCAAAGTGACCCAAAATTCAAATTTTAGTCCATCCATAAACGCGCGGTTATTTTTTATCAAATCTAAGCTCAAGTACACCCCTCGTATTTCTAATTGATAAAGCACTCTTGCTCTGACTGAGCAACATATATTGATCGGAAATCCATTAAAAATATTTGTCAAATATTTGCCCTCAACTGGCACTTCATTTATAGATCTTTTGTTCAGCATATACACTTAAGTTCACAGTGGTTGTTTTACACGAGGTCATTAATTAACAAGTCTACACCCTGTTTACACTTAAATGTAAAACATCATGACTACCTATATCACTAATTCTTGAGCTTCAATGACATGGCAGGAGTCTTTCTTAAAATAGTCGGTGAAAATCATTCTAGTCTTCATTAAAATCTTAAAATGCATCCCTATTTGGAATTTGTTCATAAGGAAATTGTCCATTTTTGAAGTAAGAATTTTACTGCAGTTTATACCGAAAAAATGTATTCAAAGTATTAAACTGTTCCAATAAAAACTAACGCTTAGTTTTGTTTTTACTCTGAATCTTTCTTTATTAATAAGCTCGTCAGTATGTGCACGCATTTGCTTAACAGTTGTTGCCCTGACCACCTTAAGACCCGCTAATAATCAGATTCAAATTCAGATATTTTAGACATTTCAGTAGTTGGTGAGATATAAACTCTTTTTCGTACGTAATATCCGCATAATGGGGTGTGGATTTACAGCACATATTCAATCTACTTTGGCTGAAAATTAGGAGTGAGCTGTCAGTGAAAATTATGACGGCTTTTCAAGAACACTACTACCTCTACTGTAAATTAAACTTCCTTTTTGTCAACAACATATTTCTAATGATTTTCTTGGCAAAACAAACATCTTTTATTCTTAAATACTAATTAAAACCAGGGCGTATGTATATTTAGGTCGCTCCTTCTTCGGCTTCGCCTATTTCCTCCATCGGGGTGCTAATTGTCATACTCAAAAGGAATTTCTTAAAGCCAAAAATGAAGAGCATTTCAACTACATCTGGCGTGAACAATTCGGCCTCTTCGAATGCGCTTAACGTTTCTTTCCAGATCCAAGATATTGCAGCCTGCAGCCTCGTTGTGTTTAAAGCCGTCTCAATTGTCGCTGGAAACTCTCTCCTGATTATTCTCTTTGGATTGAAGAAGAAGCTTCGCAAGAAAAGTTTGTTTCTTATTGTAAATATGGCGCTCGCGGATGTGTTGTTAGGGACTGTGACTCTTCCTTTGAAGATCTACTTACGGATCTCACGGACGTCAAATATTTTTGCCTTCGTGTCTTATTATCTTTTCTCGCTGGCCTCGTTAATTTCTGCAGTTTTTGTATCCTGTGAGAGGTTTTATGCCATCTGCAGGCCGCTGAAGCACCGAACCCTGTCATTCATGACATACCGCACTGCTATTGTCGTTGCATGGGTACTGGCTGTTCTATCTTCCACCGCACTAACTTTGCTAGCGAAGTTAATTTCATTTAAAACGGCTCAAACTGCTGCGTGTTCATTTCCAGTGATCTCTCTGTTTGTAGTTTGTGCCTGTAACATAAATATTTTTAGAAAGTCCCAACGTAGGGGTACCTCGTATGAACAACACAACAGGTTCTTGCAAAAACAGCGCCTGACAAAAACTCTGCAGATTGTCTCCACCGTTGCTGTTCTGACCTGGATTCCTTTGGTCGTTTGTAGATTGGTTGTCGTCCTGAAAGGCACTGTACAAAGGGAATTTTTGTTTTATGACATCGTATTAATTTTAAACGTTTCCAGCTCCGCTCTGAATCCATTCATCTACGCATTTAGAATTCCCGAGTTTAGGAAATCGCTGAGGTTGTGCTGTCTTAAGTCTCGGGCAGAGATGAAAAGAGAGGGCAGAGAAGGAAAAGATATCATGGCCACCTCTGTGACACCAGTGCAGAAAACATCAACTATTGACTGTTACTCACAAGGGGGATTTACACTAAATGTTATGGATACAAAATTGTAAACAACTCTGCTTTGCTAAATTGTTGGATCAATTTACCTTTAATTTCTGGGACCTCCCCACCAACCCCTCCCCTAACCCAACACTTTGTCCTAAGTGTGAAGTAAGTGTTGACGTCGAGTTAGGGGAGGGGTAGGTGGACAGTTTTGCAAAGACGTTGAAAAACGCACATACCTTTGTACAATCCACAAAACTGCTGGGCAACGGATAAACTAACTCACTATTTATTAAAATAGTGTTAAAATATATGTACGTGGCATCATGCTCGTGTATAATTTTCCAAAATCTTTTATCAGTCCCCATTTAAAAGTATTTTATCTTGAAATTAGTAAAGGCATTGGGGAGCTGCAACCCTCCGTCCTTGATACTAAGGAGCTTAAGCAACGACGAGAGCGCCGGCAACGAGAACGTCAAAAAGCCAATAGGTTTAGATTGGCAAAACAACGACTCTGCACGTGCAGCACGCTTTTGGTACATTTCTTTTTCGTCGTGCACGACTACGACGTGAAACTGCCTAATTTCACGTCTTGTGGAGGACATGAGTACAAGACAACGACCTTTTCTTTCTTCACTGATAGAAAACTTTGAAACAGACCTTTAGAATTCAACTCCAGAAATATTATGTGCTAACAGGCTAAATAGCCCCTCCATCATCGCCGCCATGATGTCCCTTCGAAAAACCTTGAGCATTTTTCATACTTGAGACTTAAAAAATGTTTTAATAAATTAAACATTGCTGCTTTTGGTTATCCTTTGGATTATCCTAATAGATTGTTCTCATAAGACGTCACGGTAGCCATATTTGCCTACAAAACAATTAGATGGCAACCATGTTGGTGTACCAGTTTAGTCCTGTGAAGATTCGACTCTTTTTTCAATAGAGTGTTTTCACATGACGTCACGGCGACCATATTGGTGTCCCAAAACAATGAAACGGCGGCCATGTTGATGTCCCAAACCAGTCCTCTGGGAGGTGAACTCTTTTTCTATGCAAATGCTTTCTTTTGTTACAATAAATTTGCATAGATGCTGGCCACGTCAGTGAAAACACTGTATACATTTGCAGAGCTGCTTATCACGTGTCTGAGTGAAAACGATCTATGTATTAGGACAGTGGTGACAGCTTTTTAACCAATGGGAATCCGCGTTGCGAGTCGAGCGTCATGTTTCAAAACAAATATTTTTCAAGATGGCGGACGAAAAGGCACTCTCATTATGCCCTTCTTTCGATCTTTTCATGATTTTAATCTAGCGAAAAGGAACATCACTTTTGAAATTGTTAATTTTAATGCTGAGTTAAAAGAACAATCGAGAAGCTGACTCAGGCTGGTTAAAGTAAAAAAAAGCCACGACTTTATGCTCGAAAAACGCTTGAGCTCGCAACTTCGTTCCAACCATACTCTCTTCTCCTACCCACCTTCTCTACCTTAAACAAACTTTTCTTTTCTTTCCCAGAGCTTTCTAGTTTACGTATGCATTTTAAGTACCGTGGTAGGGGAGAGCAAAAGAGGAAACGTGCTGGGAGCTTACCTGCTGGGAAAAACTTGATTGAAACTGTGAAAGCCTTGGAGACCCATTTTTCCTGTCGCCATGTATTTGTTTGTGGAATACACACAAAATTTTATTGGAACTGTGAAAGCTGTGAAGACTGATTCTTTTTGTCGGCATGTATTTTGGAATTCCTGCCGGTAATCACGAAATGATATCCAGCTAAAGTTTGATGACGTTTGGCGTCCCCTCTAAACTTACCAACATGTCTGTTCAATGTTGGGCCTTAAAGCATTCGGACTTGTTCAAAAAACCCCTCTCAAAAAAGAAAAGCGATGAACATTTCTTACCTTACATATTCATTATGGTTTATGGTTAATGCATAATCTTTTTGGGCAAAACTCCGGGGAGTAATGAAATTTATTCTTTTAATTTAGAAGTAGAGAAAAGTAACCTTATCTTATCACGCAAGAAGAACGTACGATACAGAGAAAAAGGACTAAGCGGCAATGTATAAAAGTTGTTATTTCTAACTCACAACAGTTAATATGTGATCTAAATAAACATTTTCATGTAGGTGTATTTTATGAAAGGTGATTTTTTGGTGATAATATGTACAGGAGTAAAGATATTAAAAAGAACATATAAGCTACCTTAAAATTCACCCGAAAAAACACTACAGATAACTTGATTAATTAAAGGCGTACAATTATTTGCAGCAAATTGAATATTGTGGCTAAATCTTTCATTTTAATTTGGCACAAAATTGTTGAATTGCTTGCTAGAAATTGCACTTAATTGTTGGCACGTTGTCCTTGTATTTTTAGGGTAGATTCACTATTCTTTTATAAGTTTGTTGATTATTTTACAAAATTCAAGTTTGTATGCCAAACGTTCAACGTCACTATAAATAATATATAATTATGATTATGAATACTTGTTATCTGAGTCATTAATTAAGCACGACTCACCGAGAAGATTAGATTGTTGCCTTCGTGCTTGTCCTTCTGCAAAAAGATTTCACAAGAAAGTCATTTGTTCCATTGAGGTGCTTAAAGAACTTCTTGCAAGTTTATCATGACAGTCACCAATAATACGACTTCATTATCTGCAGGGAACATCCCTTCCAGTACAGAGGGAATTCTACTATTAAGCACTTTCGTTTTGGAAGCTGTGTTAATTGTCGTAGGAAACTCACTAACAATTGTTTTCTTCGCATTTGACAGGAAAACTCGCAAGAAAAGCTTGTTTCTTGTTATAAACATGGCCTTTGCTGATGTTGTATTAGGAGCACTTTGCCTTCCTTTGTACCTCTATGTATGGGTTGGACCCTCATATCAGCTATGGCATGTTGCACATGAAATACAAGCACCTTTGCTTACCTTTTGGGATGTCAGTGATACCATTTTTTCACAGGCTTCATTAATTTCTGCAGTTTTCATATCATGTGAGCGATTTTTCGCCGTCTACTGGCCTCTAAGACAACGAACACTTTCGATGCGGGCGTATCGCATTGTCATCGCTATGGTCTGGTCTTTAGCTGTTCTTGTCTACATAGTTCACTACCTTGTTAGCCACCTCAAAAACATCAGAGCAGCTGTTTTTTCCTGGATGGTATTTCCTTTGATTTTCCTCTTCGTTGTTTGCGGCTGCAACTTTAGCATTTGGAGAAAGTTCAAGCAAAGAAACATCGCTTCACAACAGCAAAACAGAGCCTCGCAAAACAAACGCTTGACAAATACCTTACTCTTTGTTTCTGCCATTGCAGTTCTGTCCTGGCTTCCTTTGGTCATCGCCAACTATTTAATTTTTGTCCATGAAGCTGATATCTCTCGGAACGTTTTGTTTTATTATATTATTAACGTTATTAATTTTTCAAACTCCATCTTAAATCCAGTCGTCTACGTATTACGGATCCCTGTGTTTAGGCAATGGCTGAGTTTGCGCTTTTTAAGACGCCATACTGTCATAAACGACGGAGTTGAAGAAAGAGATGACAGAACGCGTGCCGCCACTTTGACGTCGATAGTTGAACTACGAAAACTAACAAAAGACGGCGGTCGTAAGGAGGAATGGTCCGAACAGGAAATTGTGAGCACCAACTTGTGATAAACCTAGGCGGATTGGATTAGCCCCGGGGGGGAGTGCTGCTGGGGGGTGGTCACCCCTTCACTTTCCCCTCCCTTCACACTCAAGCAAAAACACTTTTTTTCGGCAACTCTGTGTAAATGCTTCAAGTGTTCTTTAATCAGAATGGTATAATATGTATATAAAGCTCATATAACATAAGCCACGGCCCCCTCTTTCAGTATTTATTTATTTATTTTTTTTTTGATCAGTTCCTTATCAGCTTCATGCGCGCATTGCCAGACTCTGCCAAAACAACAATGCAATATGGCTATCTATGGAAAAATACCACGTGCTATTTTTGTGACAATTCTGAAAAGAAATGGAAGCACATTTGTGAAATATAAACTCATCAAAAGTTGAGAATATATTCTTTGAAAAATATTGTTATTGCTAATAAAAGTTTTGCATCACCAGCTGGCCTTTTGAGTTGTGGATAAAACAAATGACCATCTTGACAGCTAACGTAAGGTTTTATCTCTTTTTCAAGAGATAAGTTTCGTATCCGATCCTTAACTCCACTTCACTACAAAACGACATCGTTAGATGATTTCAATATATTCAGAGAAGTTCGAGGAAAAACATAAACTCTGTACTTGTTTGTCCGAAATAAGAAAGATGACAACACAACAAGCTATTAAATTCTTAGCTTTACCGCAGTTTACAGTAAACCGATTGTTAAATCATGTCATTATGTTTTACACAAAGGAGCCGTGAGTTTAATTTCTGACTAAAACCAGTGCTCAGCTTTTTTTAAAGGATTTTTACCCTCCTCAGACCTAAAGTTTCCAAAATGAGTCATTTTCGGCTTCCGCTTGTTGCGACTCTTTAAAAATGGGGTTTAGTTTGTCAAGGTTTGGCACTATATGGGTACATGCAGAAGGAATTATCGCAAAATTACACTTTGATATTTTTTGTTTGCGCATGCTGATACCAGTTATTTAAAGTAGCCTGCGGACTTTAGGTAGCTTTAGGTGTATAGAACGCCTTCCAAACAATTGTACGGACATATTGTTTGGATATATTGACTACGTTATTTGAATAGGGAATGACAGAATAACTCATTGCACTTATAGTTTGTTTTCCGGGGTTGCTTCGGTGTCAAGTCAGTTGCACAACTTGAAGCCAACTTTTATCTACCCCAAGACAAGAAGTTTTTAATTGCTTACCATTGTGTCGAGACTCAAATGGAAAATATATCTACTTCTACAAGCCCAAACAATTCAGTGCCATCTTTATCTTCGATGGAGGTTCCACCCCGAGCAGATGGAATAGCACTGTGCAGTGCTTTCGTGTTTGAAGCTGTATTAATTGTGGCGGGAAACTTGCTCACAATCGCTTTTTTCGCAATGAAAAAGAAGCTTCGCAAGAAAAGTTTGCCTCTAGTTATAAACATGGCGTTTGCTGATGTCATGTTAGGAGCGGTGTCTTTACCTTTGTATATATACTTATGGGTAGGACCGCACTTTAATCTGTGGTCTTTTAGAGCATCTTTGGAACTTTCGTTCTTTATCTGTGATACCATTTTCTCGCAAGCCTCGTTAATTTCTGCAGTTTTTGTATATCCTGTGAAAGATTTTTCGCAATCTTTTGGCCACTGAAGCACAAAACTCTATCAATGAGAGCACACCGCATTGCAGTATTTATGGTGTGGACTCTCGCCATCATTGTTTCCACGATGACGATCGTGCCGATTTACCTACTATCAAAAAAACACGCATGGTGTATTTGGGTGTCGTTTCCATTGACTTATCTAGTAATAGTTTGTTGCTGTAACATAGGCATTTGGAGAAAGTGTCAAAAGCAACGCTTCGCTTTACAAATCGGGCAATTCAGTGCCACAAAAAACAAACGTTTAACGAAAACGTTGCTGTTAGTTTCTTTCATTGCCGTTGTGTCCTGGCTCCCTTTGGTGATAAACAACTATCTAATATTTTTTCAGAAGTTGAATTTTCGTCGAAGTTATCTTGTTAATGGCATCGTAGATATTCTTGATTATTCTAACTCTTTCTTAAACCCAGTCGTTTATGCACTGAGAATCCCTGAGTTCAGAAAGTCACTGTTTTCGTGTTGCTCGCGACGTCAAGCTGTAACTAAGAGAGAGGCTAGTGAATTAGAACCCAGAGGAAGAGTCAACATGGCTGCCGTTTCGCCGCCGGTGATGCAGTTAAGAGCATTACCAACTCATCCCAGTTACCCATTCCAAGCTTTGGACCAGAGCTCTATGAACACGTGCAGGAGGCTGTGATCAACCATGAACAGTCGCCATGAAAAGACATTCTTTAATAATTTTTACCAGGAAAATACTACTGTTACTAGATACAAAAATTGTAATTACTTTGCTTCCGGAATCTTTGACTTTGGAATCTGCAATCCAGCTCAGGGAATGACTGGAATATCCGAAGTACCATTGACAAGGAATCCTGGATCCAGTACCTAGAATCCGGAATACACATCGTAGAGTCCATGATCCAAGACTGTCTTGGATTCTCTTACACTCGGGCGTATGTTTTCTCATCGGATGTACAAGGAGCGCGGGCGCAAGGGAAGAAACAAGCTCCGTCATTTCCCTCGGCTGTTACTCAGATTCAATCCTCTGTTATCCTGTCACATTCCATAAGCATGCGCACTACTAAGAGCCTCCAGCACCCCCCTTCCCCTACCCACAATTTTCTGGATGTACACCCTGATCGGCCACGCCCAGGCACAATGGCCGGGCGTATTTCAACTGTGTTAAGCGAAGCGCATTTGGTAAACAGAACACTCGTCGAAAATCTTTTATTTGAAGAAACGCACGGGATAAGTTATTGCCAATATATTTTAGGAGGACCCTTCTGTAAACCACTTTAGGGTGAAGGAGGCATCTTTAATAAAGATTGTCATTATATTTTTTATTATAATGAAAGCTCTGCATTACCAGCTGGCCTTATAAAATTATAACAATATAATTTTTTCCTGTTTTTATGCTATCAAAAACCTGCTTTGCCTGAATATTTAACCAAATTTGGCCTTGATGTTCGTTTTCTCTGTACCGATTCATGTGACAAAGGTGAACTCCCAGTATTTCTTCAGTTTCTGCTGAGTTAGTATATTTCCAGTTGGTGTTTTTAAAGCTGATGCCCACGTCATCAAACCTTAAATTAACTTAAAGTTTGTTTTTGCAAGCAAACAGCGAACCCTAATAAAAGCGTTTGACACGTTTTCTTTGACATATGTTGTTGTTCGTCTGATCAGAATAAAAAAGCCAGTTCGATTTAAAGCCGCCATAAATGGTAGGATCTGTTATCATATTGACACAAGTAAGCACAAAAAATATGAAGATCATGCAGACTGAAAGCGGACATTAAAAAAGTAAGGAAAGAGACCTTGTTTAAATGCAAATGAATCTCTTGACAAAATTATGAAAAATTAGATGCTTTCGACTAAACCTAAGAGACATTTTTTTTTTTGCGAAAAAGCAAAAAGGAAAACAAAACAAGCTCTACAATTAGTTTAAAGTTTGACACCAGGTTAAGCGAAATTTGAAGTAAGAATCTGTATTCTTACTCAAAGGAGCGGTGCCTTGTAATATTATTCTACTAAAGCGGGTGGCATTTTAGAGCTGACAGACTTGAAGAAAATTTGCCAAGCAAATAGATACCTGTAAATGTATTACATGTAACCATGAACTAATCATTTTCTTGTGTCTACGTTTAATTTCGTGACGTTTCATTTGAAAACGGGAGTTGCTCAAGTTGTCGCTGCATGTGAGTACGTGGAAACGGAGTTATTGCGATTATAGAGCTGAGTATATGTATATTTTGGTTCGTTAGAATAAGGCATAGACATATCGAATATAATGAGGAAGAAAAACCTCATTTCATCACTCAGTTAGTGTTCTGTTGCATCATTGTTAATTAAGTCATTGCACCACTGAAGTTTCCCGCTTCAAGCCAATTCTTTTTCTACTCCAAAACAAGCTTCTTTTTCCCTGGTATTTTGATTGTATCGAGACTCAAATGGAAAACATATCCACTTCTACAAGCTCGAACAGTTCACTACCATCGCCATCCTCGAGGCTCCGAGTAGATGGAATTGCACTTTGCAGCGTCTACCTGTTTGAATCTGTCTTAATTGTCGGGGGAAACTTGCTTACAATTGTTTTTTTCGCAATGAAAAGGAACCTTCGCAAGAAAAGTTTGCATCTAGTTATAAACATGGCGTTTGCTGATACCATGTTAGGGGCTGTTTCTGTGCCCATGTATACATACCTATTTGTTGGGCCTTTCTTTTATCTATGGCCTTCTAGAGCATCTTTGAAACCTTTTTATTTCATCTGGGATACTATTTTCTCACAGGCCTCGCTAATGTCTGCAGTTTTTATATCCTGTGAAAGATTTTTCGCAGTCTTTTGGCCACTGAAGCACAAAACTCTATCGATGAGAGCACACCGCATTGCAATATTTATGGTGTGGACTCTCGCCATTATTGTTTCCTCGATGACGGTCACACCAATTTACCTTCTTTCAAGCAAACACGCTTTCTATCTTTGGGTGTCATTCCCTTTGACTTGTCTAGCCATAGTTTGTTGCTGTAACATTGGTATTTGGAGAAAGTTTCAACAGCTACACATCGCTTTACAACCCGGGCAAATCAGATCCACAAAAAACAAATGCATAACAAAAACGTTGCTGTTTGTATCCGTCATTGCTGTTACGTCGTGGCTGCCTTTGGTGATAAACAACTATCTAAACCTTGTCGAGAAGTTGACTTTACGACGAGGATATCTGTTTAACTTCATCGTAGTTATTCTTAATTTTTCTAACTCTTTTTTAAATCCAGTCGTTTATGCATTGAGAATCCCTGAGTTCAGACAGTCACTGTTTTCGTGTTGTTCGCAACGTCAAGCTGTGACGAAGAGAGAGGGTTTTGAATTAGAACCCAAAGGAAGAGTCAACGTGGCTGCCGTTTTGTCGCCGGCCATGCAGTTAAGAACACTTAGTACCAACTTATCCCAGTCAACCACAGCAAGCATTGGACCAGACCTCTGTGAATACGTGAACCAGTTAATCCACAATGAACAGTCGCCGTGAAGAGGAATTCTTTACTAGATTTTTACCAGGAAAATATTACTGTAGATACAAAAAATATAATTCACTTTGCCTTCAGAATCCTTGACTGAATTTGGAATACGTACGTAATCTCAGCTCAGGGAATGACTGGAATCACCGGAGTTACAATGACAAAGAATCCGAAATCCAGTACCTAGAATCCGGAATCCACAGCGTAGAGTCCAGGATCCAAGACTGTCTTGGATTCATTCCTTTGCATGGGTGAACGTAAACGTCATTTTGTGTTTTTCTCAGAGCCATCGGATGTACAAGGAGCTCAGGGGCTAGGGGAGAAACCTCCGTCATTTCCCTCGGCTGTTCTCAGATTCAATCCTCAGTCGAGACACATTTTGGAATATTGGATAACAATCGGTTACTGTTAGGGTTACGGATCGTTAGGAGATATGATGTCATAAGTTACATGAGGCAAGTGAGTTTTCACTCTCTTGCAGCGAGACAGTAACGAAAGAAAACAACTGTACAATATTTCGAGACTAAATGTTCCAAACAGTGTCCGGCCTATAAAGCCCTAAAAACAATACCAGGTGTTTTTTCAATGAAGTGTCATGGCTGTCATATTTGTTTCTCAAACTCATTAATAATTCATAAAGAAAATACAAAGAAAATTAATGTTTAATGAGTGTTTGGAAATCGGATGAAAAACTGCTCAGTATTTGCATCCTTAATTTCTCCTTCAAAAACGATTTTGTTTGAGAAGAAATATCAAACATTCGACACAGTGTTTCATCACCAGATGAAACACCTCGAAGTTCGTCAAAAATACTCCGCTGCGCGTCGTATTTTCAACTCTCTTCTCGGTGTTTCATCTGGTGATGAAACACTGCGTCTCATGTTTGATATATTACTTCAGAATACTTTCTGATTGGCTGGGAGCTTGTCAATCAAGAAGTTCAACTTCGGCCATCTAAACCACGTGAAAGTCATTCACTCACGAAGGAAATTTCCGTACCCAAGGGGTCACCGTGATATCGCTTTGCATTACCAATTGTTTCAAAACGTTTAAGGTGAGTTTTAAACAATTTTTTGCGTTACAGTAATATCATGATAGCTGTCTGAAATGACCAAAACTGGGTTAAGTGTCTAGTCTACGGAGTTACAGAAAAGGGCCAACTTAAAGATGTTATCCACACGATAGCAGGAAATTACTGTGAGGGCTTAGAAAGTTGCAATCCCTTTTTGGTCACCTTCGAAGTATTGAGCGTAAAATTCTGTCATTTTTCTTCTTATGTTTTTTTTTTCTTTGTTGGGTAATTACAGGAAATACAAATAATGTGTGATGCATCTTTCTATTTCACGAGGATCTCACACCTCTCCCCCTGAAAAAAAAAAAAATTTCCCGGAGCCGAACATTAGCCCACCTTTTATTTACCCTTCATGACCCTAGGGCATTTTGTTGGCTATGTTTTAATTTTAGATGTGTTTATGAAATTGGTGGAAACTGAAAATGACGAATAGACTAAATATCAAAGATTTTAAAAGCGTTTCTCGGGTTTTTGTCTTAGTTTGCTTCGTCACTTTAATTTCCCGAGGGGACGGGGGGAGAGATGGGAAATAGGATTTGTTGATCGGCATGAGTTTCACATGATCAAGTCGCATTGGATGACCTCAGCTGAGGATACCCTACTTTAATTGTGTAATAAGGAATAGGGTGACAACACGGACGCGTCAGATCCAAATAAAAGAAATTAATTACCAGTAATTAGACGAAGTTAAAAAATCAAAGAATTTACTTGCGCTTTAATGTTTTTTGCATTTACTTTGCAGCTTCATAAGCATTTGATCAAGACTGCAAAATTACAAGTATACGTACACTTAAAAAGAAATCATGGTCACGTTTCTCTTACGTTGGTTACTGCTTATGTGTACAGTAATAATCCACTTATCGAGTCCTGTACACGTATCCCAGGCCACACACTATCCACAGGGCTGGCGAGATGCCCCGGGCTCGTTAAATGAGTTTCCAGTTGGAGTTATACAGGGCAAAACGCAGACAATCATCGATCCTTGGAATTATCTACAGAGAATGGGAGTTTTTAAGCTAATGGTCAAACACTCGGAGCCTTTCTTTAATTCCTGGGGGTATAATAACACTGGGAATCTCCTCTGGGGACTGCCGCTTCAGTTCGGATGGCAAAAGATGTCCGGTCGCCTTCGTGACATGAGGAGTAACCATGGTAATGTTGGATGTGGAGACTATTGCGTATCTCCCACCAGCTGGTGGGCCGATATGAACTACTACCTCTCTGTGCTTCCTTTCCTGGGAGCCTTGAATTCTGGGATATTCTCACCGCTTAAGTATCCTTTGTATATCACCAAACCAGCCAACGTGAGCGAGAAAGTCAAACAAAAGTTCTGTACCAGTATTGAAGAGTGCAAGGTAAAACATGGTGAGGTGATTCAGGACTGGACAGAGTTTTTCCGGCGAATTAAGGTTGCTTCTTCTGCATCCGATCACGATGCCACAGTAGCACTGATGTGGAAGGCGCACACCACATCTATTAAACACGGTGAGTCAATCAACAGTCCTTAATCCATCCACCCCAAAAAGGACTCTCGTCTTACTGGAACAGGATAGCGAAATAAATCGAACTTTTTCTAGCCTAGCAGGCGTTAAAGGGTGGGGTGGGGGGACGGAGGGGGAAGGGTAAAAAAGAGAAGAACGAGGGAGGAAAAAAATAAGGGAGAGGGGATCGGGGAGAGAAGGATGGAAGGAACGCCAGCGTTTCCCTTCTTTTCTTTGTGTTGAGCGAAGAGACGGGGTTAACTTGAAAAGAATTCACTTTAAAATTGAGCCTTACCAGGGAGCTTGTATCCATAGGATCAACTGACATTGTATTGGATGGTGATGACGCATGTGATGACAAAAAGTCTCCTAAGAAAGCTAGATAAGTCTTAAAAAAAAAAAATACTATCTAACGATCTCTTGGCAGTTATTCTTAACTTATCGATGTTCTTATGTGATAAGTTCCTCACGAATTTTGACTGTTTTGTCACTCCCTAGGGCTTCCCCTATTCACTGAAGAAGCCAGCCTACTATCAGAACCAGAGAAGAACTTTGGGATGGGATGGGCACTATCGGTAGACTTCATTGCAGCTACACATTTTCAAACCAATCTCAACGATACATGTCAACAGCAGTCATCGCTGCCACCAAGAATCTTGAAGAACGGTGACATAGCTCCCTTCATCAAGGACCTCACCGGTGCTCAAAATCGTGTAATTTTGGCGATAAACTTCTTTCGGATCGTAAACACTGAAACCGAGGGATTGCTGCTAAAAGTCTGGCGCAGAGCAATGTGTTCACCACAGGGTCGCTCTATTGGTTTAAAGCTGTTAGAAGACGTGGCAAATAAACCTTGGATCGTCCCTAGGATGTTGATATCACTGCTTAAGGCCCTGTTTAAGTATCCTTGCCAATACAAACTGACACCACCCAATTGATGTTGCAAAAAGAGCAGATTTCACTGTAATCATAAAGAACTTTAACCTCGTTAGAATGACCTAACTATAGCCATATGGCTATAGTTAGGTCATTTCAGTGTTGGCCACAGAGGTTTGTCCGCAAATCCACGAGATATCAGGCAGATTTCTTTATGATAAATTGTTACATTATTAACAAATATTTTTTTGTCATCGCTTTGCAGCTGTCGGGATTAATCTCATGATGCGTATATATTTTGTTATGTAAACCACATTCAAATCATCGTGCACTTTTTCAATACCGTGCATCTCAATGTTTTTTTTTTTTTAAATAAGCTTATATATCCGCCATGTTTAAAAACGCATTCGATTGCCACGAAAAAGCGGATGTGTGCTTTCCTAAAACTCTTTCTTGCTTGTCAATGTTTGGTCTAAAATTGATTTGACGCGCGCTCAATTTGAAATAACACAACTTAATCGCCAATTACAGCCGGGCCATGACTTTTAGTCAGTATCAGTATAATTATTGAATCAGTATCTGGTTAATAAAAATGCAGAACCTGGTATCTTAAGTTGTCTCATTGTGTATTCAAAACATAAATGATGCGATTTAGAGCAACATATGCCAACTGAGGATGCCGCACGGTGATTTAGCGGAACAGATTCCATTTGGAACAAAAAAGAAGTGACTGAGATTCGTGACAAAATCAATCTGGCTTCCAATGAGAGCCAATCAGATTAAGAATGAGTTTAAAATAGACGTGATAGAGAAAACAAGAAGTCATGGCAAAAACACATGTACTGAGTATTAATCCTACTGTTTGGTTGAATTGTAGTGGTAACTGATGTTGGGTAAACGACTGTCACTGAGTGATATATTAAATCTACAATTACTTTGCCTGTTTTGAGGTCTTGTCAACTGAAAGTAACAGAATTCTAGATAATTATAAGTAAACCCAGTAGGTGAAGACTTGTAAGACTTTAAGACTCTATCTTGAATTATAAAACGATAAACTTCTCTGGCTAAATATCACCATACCAACAAGATGAAAGGCGAAGAATGTGGCACAATGATCATGCTTTTTATACAATAAGTTCTGCTTGATAAAACGTGTTCTAATCTGTTCCTCCATTAAATTCTTCTTCTGCGGTTCTTCTTTCAGGAATGACTTCTAACCATTTTATATACAGTGATATTTTCCTAAAAGTTTCCCCACATTGATGTGATTTAGCATAATTGCCGTGTTGCCTCGTTGCATTGTAGTGCATCAGTTAAGCAAACATCATGCGTACAATCGCTTTATAAAGAGGCTGACCAGGAGAAAAAACAAACCCCATAATCCTACGAACTAGTCACCCTTTTAGAATGATAGCAGAGGGCCTCAGCCTCAGTAGTATAAATGGCCATTGCTGTCCCGCTCGACAGGCTGATAGGTAGGTCTTGATTTCTCATCATCAATCCTCGCCTTGCCGCTAACATAGTGCTTGATTGCCATAACATTTGCAGCCGCAAAGATCAGCACGCCAATGGCGATAAGACAGATTTCAAGCACAGCCATCCTCGCTGAGACAGTGCGGAAGTCCGAGCCCTGGCGGTTGCTGGGTCTTGCAGATACTTACAAGCAATAATAATGACTAATACTGATAAATCGTGGTAAAAAGGAGGGGGTGGGGTGGTTGCAGCTCCAACCCCCCCTCCCTTGAGGGGTTTGCAGTGCAACAGCCATACGGTTATTGATCAAACTGATGCAAATATATATTTACAAAATCAAAGCTAATGGAGGTTCTCATAAGTACTGAAGTTATGACTCGCGCATCATTCTGAGCGGTGAAATCGGGGCACATTCTAAATACTGAACTCATCTGAAAACTGTAGATAAGAACAAAAAGGCAACGCATGTCTTTCTTAGATGGCTTAGTGTGAACGATCGCAAACTGCGTAAATGCGCTAGCTTATGCGGACAGGAACTTTTGATGCGTTTTAAGTGTTAACAGGAAAACTGAATGGCGTGGATCAGGACTTTAAAGTTTACTGTCTCACGGTCATTGGATGACTTAATTACGTATACATTTGCTTTTGTTTGTTTGTTTGTTTGTTTTTTACAAGACCCACAATCCTATATTTGTTTTTTGTTTGTTGATTTGCTTGCTTGTTTTTGTTCACACAGTGGAAATGTACCTTGCCGATAAAACGGCAGAGATTTCTATGATTTCAGGAATGGAATACTTCCACGAGTTTAACTCATGCCCAGTGCATTTTCGAAGGCCTGGTTACTTAATTGCACTAGGAAGCATTTTGTTTTCTTTCAAAATCATATGCAAGAATTCGTAAGAAACATAGAAACACTAACAAAAGTGCGTCAGATTTAGGAGATTAATAACTCCAGCCCAGCATAATCACTAATGTTTTTACCATGGTTTTTGGGTGACGCCGAGAAGATTGAATCTCACTGCTCTGAAACTTGTCTATTACTTTGTACCAATTTTATTAGCTGTAGTATTGCAGGTTTGAACGTGACGTCATGGCGGCTATGTTGGTGGTCAAGAACAAAAGGAATTCTCTCCTCTGGGAACTAAACTCTATTTTCGTTATTTTCATCTACATTCTTCGAGCAAAAATTCTATTGTTTTGACCCCCAAAGCTCCCTGGCAGCCTTGTCTTTGTGGTTGCAAGCTAAGAATTGATTTATACTGTAGTACACCTTATGTAATGTTAAAGTTTTCATATCTTCTGTTTACTTCAGTTGGAACGTGATCATGACTTAATAAGATGACCCTCTACCTTCTTAGATTAAAGTCTATTGTAATTATGTACTCATTTAAAAACTCAAATCTTGTATGCTTGGTGAAATAGAATCATAAGCCAATATTCGTGAAACTTTCCTGTTAAAAGAGTACCACAAGTATATACTTATTAAACGCAGAAGTGTTTTCTCCCAGTTAAAAAAATGGAAGACCAAATTGTGTTTTCCTTGGTTTAGAAACGATGCTTGTAGTCGGCTAATGATTCATTTATTTACGAACCGATTTTGTGCCCATTCATCCAAAATGCCAATCAACCATGTCGAGTCAGCGATGAAATGTTTTACCGCGGCTGTTCATAATCTACAAATTCAGCGAAACAAGTCGCGAATATCAATATTTTGGGGATATTTGTCATCTTGAAGTGGTACAGAAGACGGAACGGAGGCTTGAGAGCGAGAAGAAGTTTTAAGCTGTTGCTTTTTTGGAATAGTGCAGAAGCTTGCAGAGAACATTTACTTCATATGAGTGGACAGCTTTCAATGCTTGCATGGCTGATCATCGCTTTTGTTACCGTGGCTGGCACTGGAACTCTAGCTTACTTTTACTACAAATTGCTTAATTATTTCATCAGAATGAAGATTGAAGCCGAACCTGATCCTGAGCCTCTAGAGAGAGAAACAAAATTAAAAAGAAAGTTTCGGGTCCAAGAAGGACAAGATTCTGACGAAGAAAGAATTAACATATTTAGAGAAATTAATAACAGTGACATGACAATCGAACGAACTTGAAAAAATCGTCAGTTACTTCTTAGTTGGCTAGTTAGTTGGATTGGTTATAGAGTATCAAGAACGTATAAGGTTTTTCTTGTCGTAGTCCGACGCTTTTGGGCTAATGTAAGTAATATGCAATTAAAAGGAACAGACATTGTTTTGTGCATATAAGCTTTTTATTTTGGTAATGAATAAATTTGACAACTCAACTATACTAATTTGCTCTAGTAATTCAGCAGATAATTGCTATAATGTTCATCTCCTCCGTAAATTCTGCCATGTGTTTATTCAAGTTATACGCACTGAGTAAATTTGAAAGTTTCTTAAGAGAAATGGCCATCTTGAGATCTCACTCACATACATATACTGATTATCGCACAAGTGTCAACAACACTCCTTAACCATAATATGCCTTGGAAGTCCGCCAAAAGAAGTACCAGTTTGTTCTATTAGTTCCATATGTATTACTAATCACAGTAAGTTTTGTATTAAGGGTGACCACTTCTAGGCATATACGTCCGGGGAAAATTCCGTGTGAAGAAACTGGGTACTGGTGTCCGTATTTCGAATCCTTGTCCTTTGTCTTTCTTGACGCTACGGCATACGCCATGGCACCAAACACACCCACAGAAAGAACAGTAACTCCGACAAGTAGTCCAATGGCAATAGCAGAGTACATTGCGGCGGCGTTGGCCAGAGTCTTGGGTCAGGGTCATATCGCGGAATAGAGAGCAAATGGTAACTCCGCGCGAGTGACACCGAAATTCTGGGGCATGGGGAGAGTAGAGATCACGGGTTTCTAGAAAAATGTTGCAGTAGTTATGCCAAATAATAGACACTGGCAGGATACTGGTAGAAATTTTGGTCAAAAATTGAGTATTTATTATGGCAAACGAAATCGGTTTATCGCGGGGTATTGTTCTTTCACCTGGCCAGTAGTTGGTCCTCTGTGATGGAGACATAAAAATCAAATGGAACGTTCCGGTTCGTCCGGCCGTGCCCGAGTGTGGGTGGGATACTGAAAAGGCTTAATCAGAAGAGATGTCAATCAACGATCAACACCTATATACGACATTTTCCCACACCCTGTCTTTGTCTCCGTGAGTACTTTTTCATGGCTAAGAACAGTTCCAGAAGCGGGAAGAGGGGAGCAGAAACTGTCGAGTGAAGAGGTTGGAAAAAACTTGCCAGAAGAGTTAAAACCTTAGTTAAAGACTGTTCTGCCATAAAAAGACCGGTTCGCAGGCATGGGTTTCATTGTTGTTCGTCCCCCATTGGCGAGGTGCGAACTCCTCGCAGAACTGCCGCCCGTTCTCATTTTGTAGTCATAAGCAAAGGTGTTGACAGTTCTATCTGAGCTTTGATCTAAGGTAGCGTTCAATTGCAATACCTTTTTCTTGAACTGGAAGCAACGAACAGCAGTGAAAGCCGTTGAAGATGCAATTGCAATACACACAAATGTATGTAGCAGGATTTTCAGCCACAACTGCTAAAGGATATTTAGAAATTTTCGAGGAACAAGAAATTCGACTCCAGAGCAAGGTTTGGAGCAATTTATAGTGCTTCTAGTGAAACTAAAAAGTACTTTTTAAAGAATAGCACGATTTGCATTCGCCTTTTGTTTTAAAAATAACAAAACAGTGAAATTACCTGTCCCGAAAATTCAAACTGGTGACTTGGCTATCTCAGGTAGCAATTTGTTATTGAAATTCAACAACAATTTCACAGCTGAATTTTGACCGCATTTAAGTTACGGACTTCTGCTACAACGATTTTTCTGAAATTTCTGTAGCATATTTATCATATCAATAAAAGCTGATACCAGAAATTTCAGTCGAAAATACCAACAATTTTCTTTACTGGAAGCGATTTTCTTTGAACAGAGGGGTCCTTTTAAGCGCTAATTCCGCAAAAAATCGGGATATTTCATATGATTGCCGAATGATATCTGCTGTTCTTTGAAAAGTTTCGCAGCCATTGCGTTGAAAACAAAAAAGTTATAACGAAAAGTCAGTCATAGCTCAATGCTCCTGTATTAATAACGGAGCCACCTTTAAATGAGATGTGTTTGAAGCTAGCGTACTGCGCTTTTTTATCGTCTCCTTCAAAAGATTCTACGATGAGTACCTTGTGGGGGTTTTCTTCACTATTTGTTAAAGTTTAATTAATTGCAAATTTCTCTGTGTTTGTGGCTAGAGTGTGTGTGTGTACATCCATTGAATAAAGATTTCTCTCAAGCTGTCATTGGCACTTTTTATCAGTGTAATTTTCAAAAGATGGTAGGATTGGTCGCTTTTAAGTTTTTTTTCTTTTTGTTGAAGTTTAAATCGTTTGAAATGTGACGGCCAATGTCTCTTTTTATCTTATTGCGATTCTTGCCTATGTGTGTGAAAAGTCATTCCTTAAGGAAAGGATGTCCTGTGGAATGTGCTCATTGTAGATCACCACGTCAAAACAAATATTATATATATTCACTAGGACAGTAGAAAGGCTTTATTTAAGCAATAGACCACACTTTCTATGGGTTTACCGGCGTGATAACCCACGCGGGATGTTGGGAGAACACGAGAAAAGCTTGTAAATCACGAGCCGAAGGCGAGTGGTTTACAAGCTTTTAGAGCCAATCATGATTAACGATTTAAAAGCGCCGAACTTTCTCAAAACTCAGTTCAGTCAAACAACAAACAGCAGTACATTAAAACACGAGTTTTTGCTCTCATTACATGATAACTTATGAAAGCTGTTTTTCAGGAAAAGTCAACACATATTCATGGGAAGGTACAATGAAGTTTGTTTACTACAGAAGTAGAAAATTGAACATCACGCTGTACGCAGCTGTTTTGTTGAGTCGATCCGTAAACATTTTGTGCTTACAGACGAAACTGGCAGCTGTTGTAATGGAGGACTTCATTCACTTTTTACCAGCTGCATTGGTTTAAGATCTGTTTTCTGGACTTTATCATGATCAAGAAATGTTGCGGTAACGACGTTGCTGCATTTGCGAAGTTGTCGCTTGTAACGTTGTATGTACAGCGACCGATGGAAATATGTCAGTGGTAGCTCTAAGTTTGGAGAAAGGTTTCTTTGCCATAGCCAGCGCCGTAGCTAGTATGAGGCCAACCGAGGCACTCGCCTCGGTAAAATTTTGACGAATTTCGCCGATCATTTTTATTTTACATAAGTGATCATCGGATATTTTTAACGCATCATGATATTACAAAGAATTCAGCAATTCAGTCAATATACTATGAAAAAATTACCATATCATCGATCTCAAGGGGCTACGTACGTTAACTCAAATTTTTTTTGAACAAATACTGATCAAAACCATTGGCGAGGTTAACGGTCACCCAGATTATGTAGCTTGTTTCTGATTATTGCTTTTTAAATTCCACTTGAATTAACTGGAAAAAAAGTTACCGAAAGGCCCAGAAAACGCTGCAAATCGCATTTCCGAGAGACTAAAGTTCAAAATTTCTCGGGGGGCATGCCCCCGAACCCCCCTAGCAACTCCCGCCTGCCTCGGTTGGCCGTTTGGTCTGGCTACGGCACTGGTAGCCACATATTAGCGTTAATATTTGTCGATTTGTGAAGTCAGGTGGTTTGAAGTAGGTTATGGCATCGATATTACCGAATAATTTGTGCAAATGTTGGAAAAAAACCAGCGCGAAACTCTGACATCTTTCATCATCGTTTACAGCTTAATTACAATCTGCGTCGGCCGATTTTGTACGATAACTTGATCAGATATCTCTTTTCGGAACAATTTTTTTCATTCAGGAATTTAATTTTGACATAAAATAAATCAAGAATGCTAAAACTCTCCGTTTTGTTGCTGGTTGGCACATGGTTAAGCTTTCCTGAAAACTTTCTACATCAGAAATTTACATAGTTGTTGTCTTTCTCTGCGATTTGGCATCGCCGTGAAATGTAAACTGCTTTCCAGCTTTGTACTTTATAACTTTTAAAGTAGCGAATTGTGATGCTCTGTAATAAAATGTGGAACCAACACTTTTTAATATTAAGAAGGGCTGGGTAAGTAACTCGTTCTGTTTTTTATTCTTTCTAAAATTGTTGTTTGCAGATCAATAGCCCGTTTTGTTTATGGCTCGTGTTCCGGATGCCTTTTTCTATGGGTTTACCGGTATAATAAACCATAGGTTTTTGACCAATCAGATCGCGCGTGCTATCTCAGTTATTTTATAATGTGTAATAATTATCATGTTAAGAGTACCAGCTCTTTTACACTTAAAGTTTATGGCACGCCGTTTGTTTCAAAATTATTTGTTAACGTTACATGTCCTATGAAATGTTCCCGTGATAGAATCCACCGACCACTGTTATTTTATTTTTTTGATACCATGTGACTTTTTATACCTTGATATCATTTTACTACCATGATGGAACATTTTGTACAAAGGGGGCAATTTTATATATCCCATGATGCATCGCTTCATACTATATTATCAAGATTCCGAACGCCTGTGATCCCATCAGTTCAACAGGGACGTGACAGTTGAAAAACAGTGGAAAGCTTCTTTTTTTGCCGATAAAACTTTCTGTACCTTTGCTGTGTCGATCTATTTACGATTTTTTTTTACTATTCCAAATACATCTCTTGTTAAGTCAAAGAGAGTGTTTGGCCGCCGACTATGAGTTACTAGCCTTACGAAAGCAAGGCAGTCCACGCAAATGTTCTTAGAAGCTAGCGAGGAAGGTCTTTGCTTCAGTACGTCCTGTTTTAACGTGCGTTGATAAAGCTCTCCATGGATTAACAAGCGATTTCCACATACTTGCCAAGAAACATGGAATTTATAGAGTGAATGGAGGGAAAGAATACAAAGCTTCGACACTAGGAGGTTTAGAACGTGTTCGTGGAGGAGAAAAGGTGATAATTCGCGCGAGAGAGAGAAAAGAAGAAAAACCGATCTGTTCAAGCAGACTCTCAAGGTCATGTTTCACATTATCACGAGCTTATGAGTCGCGTTTTGCCTGTCGGACGCTAATTTCTAACTGAATCGATCGTTGTTTCGGTCAGCATTTGTGAAATAGCGTACACAGTCTCTCAACAGACAATCCACCGATTCCAACAAATCCGTTGTCGGGGAGCCAACAACCACCACTACTGTGAGGGCAATGAATAAGAACCAAACCTTGCTCGAAATCAACGCGGCCATTGCGGCCATGCTTGATTCAAACTAAAGGGGGGAATTTCATATATCCCATGATGCTTCGCGCCAAATTTCTGTCTTCTCTCCGCGGTGGAAAGAGCGTTCCGAGGGTTTCGAGGGAGACTTTCAACGACCTGAATTTCAAGATGCAGCTCATCCAAGGTAAGTTTCAATGAGCCCTGTTAATCTTTGGTATCTTATTAATAATGTAAAATGGTTCCATGGTCATTTCACGCATTATTGCTCCCGTGTACGACCCTGTTAAGCCATGCTGTTTTAACTCGTTAGTGAATATTTTTTTAGATGACTTTCAATCTTCGAAAACTGTCTTTATTCTAGCAAGGTTTAGCCCTAATAAATTATTTAAATCGGCGGACAAGGGGTGCCCGATACTAGTTCCACGCTCCGACCTCTTTCGACCTCGCGATTTTTATGGGTTTGATCGTTTTGAAATATCGCATTTTCTGCCCTTTCTCCGCTAAGATGCAAGACGAAGGTTTCAATTTCT